AAAAACAAGATTGTGATACATGGCAATTATATATTTATGATTATAACATGTGTTAAATTATTTCATAATTAATATATATATAGATAATAAAAACCGAATTTTGTTAAAAAAATTAATTAGAAATATTATCTTATAGTAATTTTCCATTGTTAAAATCCTAAACAAAGGATCTTTACAAAAACAATATTTGATAGTAATTTTCCATTTAATATTGTGGCATGTATTAAAACTCTCATGATTAAAAATATATATACTAAGATAATAAAAAAGAATTTTGAAGATATTAATTTGAATTTTTTAAAAAATTAAAATAAAAAGCTACATTTTTTTAATTGTAGTTTTCTTTTTTACAAATCCTAAACACAAAGATTTAAAATAAAGAAAAAACTAAAATTTGAAAATAATAATTTTAAATATTTTTTAAAAGTAAAAAAAAAATAAACAGTGTATAATTCCAGTTTTCTTTTTTTACAAATCCAAAATAACAAACTATTCGTAAAATAGATTATTATCAATTTTTCTTTTCTAAAATCCTAAAAAATATTATTTGATAATAATTTTCCTGTTAGAATTTTATATATGTAAAAATATATCATATTAAGAAAATATATATAGAAAGAAAATTAAAATGATTTTACAGATAAAATAATGTTTTAAAATTTTTAATAGCGTCTAAGACAGTTTATTTTAAAAAAATTCATCTTATTATATAAAATTTGGTTCTTCAAAATTACTAATTAACAAGATTGTGACACATGGAAATTATTTATTTATGATTGTGTCATGTACATGTTAAAGTATTTCATAATTAATATAATATATATATAGATAATAACAAAAACGAATTTTGTTAAAAAATAATTAGAAATATTATGTAATAGTATTTTTCCATTTTTAAAATCCTAAATAAAGAAAATTTACAAAAAAAAAAAATTCATATAATTTTCCATTTAATATTGTGGCCTGTGTTAAAATTCCCATGATTAAAAATATACATACAAAGATAATAGAAAAGAATTTCGAAGATATTAATTTGAAAAACCGTTTAAAACTAAAAGAAAAAAGAAGCTAAAAGTTTTTAATTGTAGTTTTCTTTTTTTACAAATTCTAAACACCAAGATTTAAAATTAAAAAAAAAACTAAATTTTGAAAATAATAATTTTAAATATTTTTTACAAGAAAAAAAAAGAGTGTTACTTTTTCTTTTTTACAAACCCAAAACAACAAATTATTCATAAAATAGATTATTATCATTTCCTTTTCTAGAATCTTAAAAAAAAATATTATTCGATAGTAATTTTCCTATTATAGTGTTCTATATGTAACAATATATCATATTAACAAAATATATATACGAAGAAAATGAAAATCATTTTACAGATAAAATTATGTTTTAAAATTTTTAATACAACTTTTCAAAAAAAAAAGTATTGTAAAAATTTTCAAGCAAATAAATTTTTGCAAAATAATTTATTTGATACAAATTTGCTTTTTCCTAAATTTCAAACAAAAGATATTTTAAAACCCCTATTTTAAAGTAATTATCCGTTTCTAAAAATCTTGAACATAAGAAAATTATTAAAGAATGTTTAATAGTTTTTTTTTTAAATCTTAAACAAAATGTATATGTAGAATAATTATTTCAAAGATTTTTCTATTCTTTTCTTCTTAAACTGATGATGATTTTTAATATATATCTTAAGATAATTAATGAATTTTGAAGATATAATTTAAAAAAAAAGTAAAAAAAAGAAAGAACTAATAGGTTTTGAATTGTAGTTTTTCTTTATACAATCCTAAAAAAAAATATTTAAAATAAAAAATAAGAATTTTAACTTTATTAATTTTAAATGTTGTTTAAATTAAAAAAAAATAAAGGGTGTTTAATTATTTTTTCCTTTCTACAAATCCTAAGAAAAAATATTCCTAAATTTATTTATTTATTACCTATTTGTCTTTTTAAATCCTAAAGAAAATATTATTTGATAGTAATTTTGCTTTTAAAATTTATATATATATATATCAAAATAAATCATGATTAGCAAAATTTATATACTAAGTAGTTTAGTTGATACTAAGATAATGAAAACAAATATTTTATAGTAGTTGTACTTTTCTAAAATCTTGAACATAAGAAAATTATAAAAGAGAGTTTAATAGTAGTTTTCTTTTTTCCAAATCCTAAACAAAAACAAGTTGTAGAATAATTCTTTCAAATATTATTTATGCTCTTTTCTTCTTAAGCTGATGATTATTTTAATATAAATATACTACGATAATGAAAAAAAATATTTGAAGATATTAATTTGAAAATTGTTTAAGAGTAGAAAAAGTTAAAACTGTTTAATTGTAATTTTATTTTCACGAATCTTAAAAAAACATTTAAAATAATAAAAACGAATTGAAAAATATTAATTCTAAATATTGCGTAAAGGTAAAAAAAGGTGTTTAATTGTGGTTTTCCTTTTTTGAAAATCCTAAACAAAAAAATAATATTCGTAAAGTATATTACTAATTACCAATTGGGTTTTCTAAAATTCTAGAGAAAATATTATTGTAAAATATCCTTTGATAGTAATTTTGCTTTTAAATTTTTATATATGTTAAAATAAATCATGATTAACAAAATTTATATACTAAGCGGATAAAAGCAATTTTAGAAAAAAAATTAAGAATTAATTAATAGCAATTTTTCTAAACCATTTTCTTTTACAAAATTTAAACAAAAAGAAGATTCACAAAATAGTTTATTTGTTACTAATTTTCCTTTCTAAAAATGAAGAAATGCTAATTGAAAAAAATATTTGATACTAACTATCCTTTTCTAAAATCTTGAACATAAGAAAATTATAAAAGACTGTCTAATAGTAGTCTTCCATTTTTTCAAATCCTAAACATATAATATTTGGAGAATGATTATTTGATATATTTTTATGTTCTTTTATGCTTAACATGGTGATGATTTTTATTGTTGTTATATTTGTCATGCTGTCGTATGTTAGTTATTGCCATAATTATACTTAGGTGTTGTACGTAGTATAGAAGTTTTGATATTGTGTGTAAGTTAATGTGCCTATTATGCATTTGTGTGTTTGTTTTATAGACGCTATAAAATTAGTTATGCTTTTTTTTGTATGAATTTCAAATTACTTATGTTGTTGTAGTTAAGTTAATTTCAATGTTATTTGTTACTTTTATGTACTATTTTGCTTATGCCTGATTGTTATAGTATTTAATTAAAAATCACAACTGTAAAAATAGTAGTGTTACGAATTGTAAAATAGTAAATTGATAAAATATTTAATAGTATTGAAATTATTATCTGATAGTAATCTAATTTTAGGTAGTTCTAAATAGAAGATAATTATAAATGATTGTATGATAGTAATCTTTATTTTCTAAATCTTAAACAAAAATGTAAAATAATATTTGATAGTAATTTTGTTTTTTTTTTTTAATTATAAATAAAAGATTTTATAAAATATAATGTTTTCTTTTTAAAAATCATAAGAAAAAGAATTTTTTTTAAAAAATATTTAATAGTAATTTAAAACATAAAGATTTTGATGTTAAACATGATACTAAAAACAATTTAATTAACTAAAAAAGCAAAAATAGGATATTGTTATGATTAGTCTTTATATTGGTATTTGTATGTGTTTGGTCATACAAAAATAAACACATGTTTGGTATATTTTTTGTTTGGTGATAAAAAAAATTATTACTATTATCAACATAATGATTTTTATATGTTTAGTCAAAAAGAAATCACGTTTCCTCGTCATCTTATTAAATCTATATGTTTAATATATAGCATTTCTACTCTATTTTATTAAACTGTTGTTATGAAAATATATCATTAAAATGAATTTAGAAAATTATTTAATAATAGACAAATTTAATAAAATGACCTAATTGTTAGTAGAAAATGAGAAATAAGTAATTTGAAAGTAATTATAAATTAAGTACACATAAGAAAAATTATAAATTCAAAAACTGAAAAAAACTAAAAAAGTTGTTTGAAATACTATAACTTGAATACTATTTTTAATACTACATAAAAAAACCCCATAACATCTGAAGTTAGGATTTAGTGTGTAAAGTTTAATATTTAAGGGATGAAACTAAATTTATAAAATTATATAAAAAATCCAAATGATATATATGGTATTAAATATCATATACTTAAAATGAAATTAGAAGAATTTGTTAATTATCTCTAAGATCGTCTTATACAACTTTATTACAATATATAATAAAAATTTATTTATTTATTTTAATATTTATCATCACAAATTAAGAAGTGACAACTGTATGATATTTTCATTGACTTGATTAACTTTATTTATCTTTCAGTTTTTTTTATTTCACTATAATTTTTAATTCGAACTGGATTTGGTTTAAATTTGTAGGTATGAGTATTTTTCTGGCCTTGGGTACAAGTTAAAAACAATTCACTTATGTGTCATGATTATTAAAATACAAATATTTACCAATATTTATGTGGGTAAAAAATTCTAAATTCTGAAATAAATCTCACACAACATATAAAATAATCCTAAAATATAAAATAATTTATTATTTTATGTCATTTGTAAAATTAAAACATCAAATAAAATATGTGCTTATTAAAATAAATACTAATTGGAACTTTAATGGAAAACCGAATTCTTAATTTATAAAATAAATCTCACATAACATATGCAAAAAAATCATAACAATATAAAATAAATTATTATTTTTATACTTTATAAATATTAAAACAACAAATAAAACTCGTGCAACGCACAGATCCGTATCTAGTATATTATATAAAAGGCACAAGATATTGGTGTATTAGGGAAATTAGTCATATAGTGAATTATATAGATTAAGATAGTTGAACAAAAAAAAAGAAGTGAATTATAGATTTTTTGAGCGTTATCGTATGCAATTTACGCTCTTTTGTTTAGGGAGATTGTGAGCCTTTTTTAACGATTTTTATCAATTTCGTAGAGAGAGAAAAAAGTTACGGCTTTCTTCTTTTGTCTCCACCAATCCAATTAATCCTCAACTCAATTCACAACAGAGAGAGAATCCATGGGGGAATGTAAAGTGAGGAGGATAAACCTCGGAAGCCAAGGCCTCCAAGTATCTGCGCAAGGCCTTGGCTGCATGAGCCTCTCCGCCTTCTTCGGTGTCCCCGACCCCAAAACCGACCCCATCTCTCTCCTCCATCACGCTATCAACTCCGGCGTCACTTTCCTCGACACCGCCGACAGCTACGGTCCCCACACCAACGAGTTGCTCCTCGCCAAGGTTCGGTTTTTTTCGGTAATCTGAGTTGGGTTTTCAAGAAAGGAACAAACTTTATAGGGTTTTGGGGTTTGTCTCTTTGGTTCATTGAGTTTATGTTGTTTGCAATGTTGGATTCTGTTAGGCTCTGAAGAATGGGATGAGAGAGAGAGTGGAGATTGCTTCAAAATTTGGGATCATTTATGGAGAGGGGAAGAGAGAGATAAAGGGAGATCCTTTTTATGTTAGGGCTGCTTGTGAGGCGAGTTTAAAGCGTCTTGATGTTGATTGCATTGATCTTTACTATCAGCATCGGATTGATACTCGTGTTCCTATCGAAATCACTGTAAGCCTTTTGTCTTGCAAGTCCTACTTCATGCTATGGTTTCTTACCGTTTTTAAAAAAATGAAATGGAAGATGGAGTTCAGTAAGAATGAGGGTGTGTCACTTCCTTAGCTTGCGATATGTTCTGACTACTAGGGTCGAAAGTCTGTAAGAAGATAGATGCTAGGACGATGTTTTGAAGTTGCTCGCTTGTTTATGAAGAACCACTGTCTAATGAAAATGATATTTTTTGACCAAAAAAAAAATGAAATGATATTTAACTGAGCGAAAATTAAGCCTTTCCTGATCTATCAATTAGGGTTGGTTTTGAGCTCTTAATGATTTGCCACATATATATACACATGCTGGCTTTTATAAGACGATGGTACTCTGAACTTAACAGTTTGTCTTGTCTTTTGATTCTAAGATGGAGGAGTTGAAGAAGTTGGTTGAAGAGGGTAAGATAAAGTACATTGGTTTGTCTGAAGCCTCTGCCTCTACTATCAGAAGAGCGCATGCTGTTCAACCAATTACTGCAGTGCAGTTAGAATGGTCCCTGTGGACGAGAGATGTGGAAGAAGAAGTCGTCCCCACCTGCAGGTAAGAGAGTCAATGCAGATTTGCTCCTTTTCTTGGCGTTCACTGTCCATTTATCGTGTAACATCATTTTCTCTTTCCTTTTCTTCAGGGAGCTTGGGATCGGGATTGTTGCTTACAGTCCTCTAGGACGTGGCTTCTTTGCATCTGGACCAAAGCTTCTCGAGAAAATAGAGAATAATGACTACAGAAAGGCAAGTGCATAGGCTTTTTATCCCCTGTTTGATTGATAAACTGTAGGTAATCAAAATAAACTCACTGTTTATCTGCTCAACTTCTGTTTCTATTGCAGTCTCTACCGAGATTCCAACAGGAAAACTTAGTCCACAACAAGATTCTTTACGAGAAAGTTTGTGCAATGTCGGAGAAAAAAGGATGCTCTCCTGCACAACTAGCCCTTGCATGGCTTCACCACCAGGGAGACGATGTTTGTCCCATCCCGGGAACTACTAAGATTGAAAATCTCAATCAGAACATTGGAGCTTTATCTGTTAAACTCACTCCAGAAGAGATGTCTGAGCTGGAGACCATTGGCCACCCAGATTCTGTGAAAGGAGAAAGATTCAGTAACTTGGTGCCTAACTTTACGAACTCCGACACTCCACCATTGTCGTCTTGGAAAGCCCCTTAAACCCCACCTGAAAGTTTGTCGGGCTATGGCTGCACATTGGCATTAATGTGGTGTAACTTATGTCAGACAAGTCGAGGTAATAACATGTAGATGTTGTGTGTTATGTTGCATTTTCGTGAGTTCCACCTATGCACTAGTCTCTAAGGCTTTACACCTTGTAAGAATAAAAAATGCATATGATGGATGATTCAGTAGTTAACCAATTTACTGTATCTACAAGATTTTGAAATATTTTCCTAATTTCGAATATTCAACTTGAGATTTCTTATTATTGCCATTTAACTTAGTCCTAGGCATTTTACATGAACCCGAAAATTCCAACCGAAATTGACCCAAAAACTTTGAACCGAAACTAATCCAAAACTCTATAGATAATATAGGTAAATGTCTGGATCTAAAACTCTTCCATCTAAAGATCTAGACCCGACAAAAAAAATTGATCCAATAAAAATTCATGAATGATTTTATCAATACTATTATTTGTTTCATGAATGATTGTCTGGTCTGAATGCTCAAAAGTCAAAACCACGATTTTATGTGTTTCTACTTTTTTATCAATACTATTATTTGAGAAGTAAATTTGTTTATTTGTCATGTTCATCATAATTTTAGATAGTTTTGCTTGTTTGTCACATTTTTAAAATTTTCACTAATGATTAATTATTATTCTTAATTAATAATAAAATTTATTAAGGTATAACTAACTATAAATTAAAACGAATCAATAGAAAATAAACCTTAATTAATAATAAAGTTCATTGATTAGATGATTATCATTATCTAAAAAAATAGTTTATTGATTAGCGATAAACTAAAAACGAATTAATATATAATTGGCCATTAATTAAAATATTTTCATTGATTTAATAATTATCATTATCTAAGATAATTTATATTATGTTATCTGTTAATATATAATTAACCATAAGTTGAAAACAAACTTCATTGATTTGATAATCATCCTTTTAGAAAAATAGTTTATGTTGTGCTATTAAAAAAATATTTTACATTAGAGTTTTTTAATGTTTTAAATTTATAAAAGATAAATATCTACATATATTATATATAATATTAATGCATATATTAAGGTTTTCAAATTTATTTTATGTAATAAAAGATAGTTTTCTTATATTGACAAATTTGGTCATATGTAAAAAAATTAATATTTATTTTATTACTAAAAATTTCAAAAGCATTAGTATTTTTAGTTTATGTTACGTGATAAAAGAAATTATGTTACGATAAAAAACTTGTATATAAAGAATTTATTGTTTAATTCTTATTAATATTTTAAATATATGAACATTAATTTATTTTAATTTTATTTAAACTGATAGTGTATTCACTTTAAATATTTGTAAAATTATTATGTCCGTATGTGCGGGCAAAACATCTAGTTTATTTATAATTTAACTGTAATAAAAAAATATTTGTAGATATCAACTTTTGGTTAAAATTGTTTAATTGCAGTGATTTGAATTTATTTATGGTTATTTTCTTATATTTATAGTTATAGTTTCTAAATGTTAGTTTTAAATTATTGTACACAAAAAAGTTTTAAATTATTGAATTTATTTTTGTTTTAAATGAATTTTGTGCTGTTTTTGTTCTTCATCCCAGACTGTCAGACACACGGCTTCTTTTTAGGTTTCGGGTCATCATTACCATTTTATTCACCAACTCCAAACTCCACCAACCTCTCCACTCAATTCACAAAACTCTCTCTACAAAAAAGAGTCAAAAGACAGATAATAAAGAAAGAGCTGTGTGTGTGTGTGTGTGTGAGCGAAATCAAATGGCGGAAACTTGTGGAGTGAAGAGAATAAAGCTGGGAAGTCAAGGCCTTGAGGTCTCTGCACAAGGCCTCGGTTGCATGGGCCTTTCCTCCTTCTACGGTGCTCCCAAGCCCGAAACTGACGCCATCTCTCTTCTCCACCACGCAATCCACTCCGGCGTCTCTTTTCTTGACACCTCCGACATCTACGGTCCTGAGACCAACGAACTACTCCTTGGCAAGGTTCCATTTCGATCGAGATGATTGTTCTGTTTTGGGCCTCAGAGTCTTTAGAAATGATAGAAATGAATTTTTGTCAGGCTCTGAAGAATGGGTTGAGGGAAAAAATAGAGCTTGCAACCAAATTTGGAGTCAGCTATGCAGAGGGGAAGAGAGAGATAAAAGGAGATCCTGCTTATGTTAGAGCTGCTTGTGAAGCAAGTTTGAAGCGTCTTGATGTTGATTGTATTGATCTTTATTATCAGCATCGGATTGATACTCGTCTCCCTATCGAAATCACTGTAAAGCCTTTCTTAACTCTCTAATGAAATGGAATGTTTATATACTTTCACTACTTCACCTCAGTGAGCTTCAGATTTTTAGGACCATGTGTTTACTGAGTTAACAATTTACTGTGTTTGTTAATTTGTAAGATGGGGGAACTGAAGAAGCTGGTTGAAGAGGGTAAGATAAAGTACATTGGTTTGTCTGAAGCATCTGCCTCAACTATCAGAAGAGCACATGCTGTTCACCCTATTACTGCTGTGCAGTTAGAATGGTCCTTGTGGTCTAGAGACGTGGAAGAAGATATCATCCCGACATGCAGGTAAGAGAGTCAAAGCAGATTGATTTTTCTCATCTATCATGTAACATATCATCTTATCTTTTCCTTTTCTTCAGGGAGCTTGGGATTGGAATTGTTGCTTACAGTCCTCTAGGACGAGGTTTCTTTGCATCAGGACCAAAGCTTATTGAGAAGCTGGACAATGATGACTTCAGAAAGGTAACTACTACTATCTGATGAATTACACTGGCTGTACATTTGCTGAATTCTGTTTCTTGTTGCAGACTCTACCAAGATTCCAACAGGAAAACTTAGACCACAACAAGATCCTCTATGAGAAAGTTTGTGCAATGTCTGAGAAGAAAGGGTGCACTCCGGGACAACTAGCCCTCGCATGGGTTCACCACCAGGGAGATGATGTTTGCCCCATCCCAGGAACCACTAAGATTGAAAACCTCAATCAGAACATTGGAGCTTTATCAGTGAACCTCACTCCAGAAGAGATGGTTGAGCTAGAGACCATTGTCCGACCAGAGTCTGTGAAAGGAGAAAGATATGGTAACATGTTGGCCACTTTCAAAAACTCCGACACTCCTCCATTGTCTTCTTGGAAAACTGCTTAAAAACGAGCTGGAGTGTGTTTGGTCTCAGTTTGAATGTATTGTAAAATAAATTGTCAATAGAGTTCCCCAAGTGAAAACTTCAATTTAAATTTACATACATTGTAAATTTACATAAATTTGATCAAAAAAAAAAAAAAAAAATTTACATACATTGTAACAAACTCTATAAATAAACATCTCTTCTATTCAAATTTCAGAGTAAGTTAAGCAATGAATGAATGACTAATATGTTAGAACTTAGAATTGAGATATCAATGGTCACAACAGACGCAAACAGAAGCCGGAATCATGTCCATGTGACAGGTAATATGAGCATAAAGTATGAAGATTGAAGAAAAAACCTTACAAAGATGTGTTACTTAATACAAACGTACATAACTCTCTCATCTAAAATCTTACAGAGACAGCTAATCTATACAACCAACTCTACCACGCATCTGTGCAATGAATCATATCTTTAATTGACAACCTAAACATTTTCACACCTGGAAAAACAATCAGTTTTTTGAGACATGAAAGGGTTTTGGCTAACCACCTGTTAACCTTTTCCAACAGAAAATTAGACGACAGCACAAAGGGATCTTTGTTCAATCTTGTGTGTTTGCAGTTGATAAACCATCTTCTTTCAGTCCAGGTCACATCAAACAACTGCCATTTTTACGTTTTTTCTTGTGCTTATTTCCTTTAGCATTGGTCAAAATCAAGTGTTTCCTCATCCATCAGTTTCTTGGCTCCTGCTTCAGATGGATGTTTGAAGGAATGATATAAGATCTCGGCTGAGGGACAGATAAAAACAGTATTTTTAGCATCAAATGTGAGGTAAACCAAACTATTTAAGGGTCTTATCCAAACCATATGCAAAGAAAATGCAAGATATTATACCTGTCGTGTACTTGTCATTAACCTGTTTGCAAGATCATTATTAACTGAAACAGGCAGTGGTGGCATCCGGCTTATGATACCAGGCATCATCTTCATGCTGCAGCAATTGATAAGTAAGAGATTAGCAAATCATGCTTTTACAAAAGACAAGGAGAAAGACGTCAGAGGAAAAGTATCATTAGTAAAGATCCACATACTCATTCAAGATGGAACTGATGTTATTTCTTGCCAGATTAAACAAGCTGATGTTATCCTGTGGCTGAATGCAGAAAACAGAATATCAGCTAGCATTTGATAAGTTGCATTGAATAAACACTGCATGAGAAATATATGATTAATGATCTTTTTTATTCAATTTTCTGCACATGTCAATCTTTTTCTACCAGCTAGCATTTGGATCACAGATTCACCCACGTACGGTTGCAATAACAAAAATACAAACCAATCACCTTGGACACAGAAAGGTTTGAAGATATTTGACTGAAAGCTTGAGCATTCTGCCGTAGAAGCTCCATGACCGCATCATTTAAACCTAAGAAAACATGAGTTTGGAGAGTATATGATTCATATGAAACATGAAAATGATGCCGACAATACTGTGACTCAAAAATAGCACTAACCTTCAAAATGCATGCGTGCACTCTGGTTCATGAAATATGGAGAATTTTGGTGTGAAACGGTGGAGAACATGTTCAGTTTTGGGGGTAAATCCACAACCTTAATCAATTAAAAATTAATCAGTTAGTTGTATGTTGGGTCCCAAGGAAAACAACTTTGTAGCCGTTTGAACAAAAAGTCATATGCAGACAATAACCTCTTCTACAGTACAATATAAAATAGGTCAGCTACCTTATATGTTTACTTAGTACATAAGAAGATATACCCTACGGTTTAGTTAAGCAACATACCTTTCTATAGCTAACCTTCGTGCTGGCACTGTGTTCTTCCCCTTTTCTCCGTTTTTGCTGTAAAAATGGATTCCATTCATAGCCAGAATACCTTAAGTCATTGATTTATATAGTTGAAAAATAAAATAATAGCAAAATATCAGTTGTTATAAACGTTAAAATGCAGTTATGTTGAAACTTTCTGCTTGAACGAGTCACAGAAACATCTTTGTATTTCTTCAGTCCAACTTCAAAATATGACATGCAACATGTCAACATCAATTTCAAAAAGTTAAAAAGCAGTTAAGTAGAGACCGTATGGTTAAAGCTGATAAGGTAATATTCAGCACTACAACTTGTTTTGCTAATTTTTCCCACTTTATTATGTGAATTGAGTGAATCGGACACTACAGTGTAAGCCATACTGGAAGCGGTACAAATACTATCTTTCATCAAATGCTACATGTCAAAATCAATTTCTGAGAGTTCGAAAAGACCAAGGATTATCTTGACATCATCCATAAAGAGATATTTGTTTCAAGGTAACAACAAAAATCAAATCAAACTTATCAGCTTAGGGTCAAATCAAGTTCCAACATGACTCAAGAGCTAACAGAAAACCAGATCAATCGTCAGCAATACTTGTCAATTCTCTCCTTGCACACCCTTAACCATATCTTTAAACAACCTTTATGATATGGTAGGGTGTATTTTGATCAATATAGCAAAAGAACTTTAAGGCTACCTTAAAAATAACTTTTCATATAGGACTTTATCTTTAAAAAAAGCATCCACACAAAGTATCATCACCATATTGGTTCCCTATATTTTGCATGTGCTTTAATAGTAAAAAAAGTATCTCTCGCTCGCACCACTATTTTCATGACACTCACATATAGTATAACTGCTAAATTGTATATTTTTTACTGTCTTTCATCTCACACGCGAAAAGGACACTATCAAGAAGTATGCAAGCGAGACAGTGAAACCTAATGACAAAGGCATTAGAAGCTTACCGTCATCCATTTACACCTCATTGCCACATCCCGTACACTTTTATCTGGTAGAGTTGATGCAATCTTTACATACTTCGTAACTTGTGGTTCATCTTTAAATCTACAAAAGGCAAACGCAAAGATGTTTATGCAACAAAAAAACTCAGATAACTAAAGAGAACTATCTATAAGAACCTGAATCACAGTTCATGAGAGAGGCAAAAGCAAAACCTTTTTATTCATCAAACATAACTAAAAAAAACTATCTATTGTGTAACACTGCTTCTCCAAAAGATACTCCCTCCATTCCACAATACATGATGTTTTACTTTTGATACAAAAGATTAAGAAATTTATTTTTTTCAAAAAAGTAATTTTTAAAATATAATTTTAAAATTGTTTTAACCAAATATAGAAAAAACTGCGAAAAATCTAATTGGTTACACAGTTTTCAATAAAACTAAAAAATATATAAAAATATCATCTATTTTGAAACAACAAAAATATTCTAAAACTTCATCTATGGAGGGAGTATTATTATTTATCTACTAACATTGTATAATAGCTGCGAGGTAACCAAACTTAGACTTACTTTGTGAGACCTTTCTCTAATACATACTGCTCCTCCACAGACCAGTCAACAGCCAAAGAAGCTTCATGTTTAAGTCCACCCGGAGAAGTCACAGTAAAGTGAAACCCTGAGGAAGAAGAGGTCATGCTCGAATTCGGAGAATATACTAAACCGGTCGTGCTGGTGCTCGGTACGCAATAATTATCCATCGGAATCATTCCCGGTTAGCTGGTTATGCCCAAAACAAATGTTCGATTTAGGGTTTTAGCAAATTCAGGATTAGACTAGACCCAAAAGCTAAAAAAGAATAAAAAAGAAAATTTTATTAAAGGCAAGAGAAACCCACCTCGGATTTGGCTAAAAGGAAGATGATTTATGCCTCTCCGGAGCTTATACAAAACCCTAAACCCCCCAACGATTGGTGCTGTAAATAGCAATAGACAAACCACCCGGAGAGATCTCAAAGACAGAGAGAAATTGAGAGACGTGATTCGCGAAGAGCGTTAGCGAGATGCGAACTTCGAATTGAGGAAGACAGCGAGGAGAGACAGAGAGACAGAGAGGAGAGAGAGAGAGTAAAAATGGTGGTTATTCCTTTTCTTTCTTTTTTTTTGTCTGAGCAGAACAACTTTTTATTCCATTGTGGTTTTGCTTTTGTTTTGTTCACTCTTCTTAAGAGAGAGGTTTGGTTTGGTTTGTTCGTGAATTAATTAATTTAATCTTTACGCAATTTTGTGAATAACACAGTCACATACACTTTGGAACATTTTTACTCAAATTTATTATTACAACTAGGTATTTCATTATGAAAAATATCTTTCAATGGGATCTAGCATTTTCTATACACCAATACTAGGATAAGATCCGCGCCTTGCGCGGGATGAAGCTATTATTTTTATTATGTTTTTAAAAATGAAACAATAGTTCAGTTTCATTCGGATTAAAGGTGTTCAATCCAGATATCAGGTTTCGGTTCAGCTCGATTTTTTGGTATTTTGATCATTAAAATATAATTACTATTCTAAATCTATATGTACTTCAGTTTGATTTGGTTTATATACCATCGGTTTTCAGTTTATTCAATTTTATACCAAAAAAATAATTATTTAGTTTGAGATCATAGTATATATTATACAAATATATAATATGATCATATTTAGAGTCATATTGTCACAGAGTCATTTATTAAAAAAATATTATATATTTAAATAAAAGAATAAAAAACAATAAGGCTTCTATCATCTAATAAAATGATCAAATCTAAAATTAATATCAAAACACTAAATTTTGAAAATAAAAATAAAAAAAACAAAACAGAAGCATGAAAATTTTTTTTTTATATTCTTCCATATTTAGTGTTCATCAAACCAATATGTCTTCGATTGAACACAACTATGTTTGTTTAAAGATAAAAAAAGTTGTAAAGCATTTCAACTAATTGTTGTCCATCAAATTTATAATCTTTACTTCAATTTAGTTACTGTTAAAAAAGCAAAAGATCAAAATAAGAAGTCTTAGTTGTAATAAATTCTTAGCTATTTACAAATTATAATTATAGTTCAACTCATGTAACAAATAGATATTCATGCGTCGTTATAAATATATACATATTTACATGTTTCAGTTTAATAGATTATAAATCAAACCATATCCAAATCCTATGGTTTTTATAAAATCACATCCATTCGGTTTGTATGGTATATACCAAAAATAACCATATTATCGATTCTTAATATCTTTTAAAAATATAAAATTAAAAAAAGAACTAAGATATTTAAATTATTGATAACAAAAAAAATTCAATGTGAAAAATTTAATAAGTTTATAATTTATAAATGTTCTGGAAAATTTATTGAAAATTTTGAAATTAAAATATTTATGTAATCTTATATGGTATATAGTTTAATCTGTATATATATATTTGTTTTATTATTGAATGATACTTTTTACTTATATGGTTTTAAAATCATGTATATCTTTTTATAATAAAATGTTAAACTATTGATCATTAATTTTTAACAAAATAATTTTAATAGTTTAGTTATTTATTCTCGTTTCTTAAAATTCAGAATATAACCTATACGAAAAAATCTAAAGTTTAATTTTATACCTAATTTGATTGTTTAATTTATTTTAATAATATAAAATTAAAGAAAAATGATGGAGGATATATAAACTGTTATCAAATATTTATTATTAGAATCATTAAGTGTCATATATATATATTAGTCATTTATGGTAATTCCGTAGGTTTTATTTATGGAAATAAAATAAAATAGTAATTATATCTTAGGAAACAATCATTAAGTNATAAACTGTTATCAAATATTTATTATTAGAATCATTAAGTGTCATATATATATATTAGTCATTTATGGTAATTCCGTAGGTTTTATTTATGGAAATAAAATAAAATAGTAATTATATCTTAGGAAACAATCATTAAGTGTCATATATATATTAGTCATTTATGGTAATTCCGTAGGTTTTATTTATGGAAAGAAAATAGTATATCATATCATTATATCATATAGTTTGACTAACTAATGTATCTAGCAACCTATAAAAATCCAATGTTGACTTACTTATTTTTCAATTGAATCTAATTGACTACCTAATTGAATGACACCTATGCATTGGAGTCTCTTTTAATTAATACAAAATTGAGGTTACATCTTTTCAAATGTTCCTCAATTAATATATAGGGGATGCCAATTTTTTACCGATAAAAAATAAGTCATCGATTTGGTTATTCACAAATTGCGTAAAAGATTAAATGGGACCAGTGATGTTCATTCTGGTAAAACCTAACCAAAAAAATAAAAATATTTGGATTTGATAATATCAAATATACCAAATGAATGTTATTTTTAAGAAACCGCAGTATATAGAAACTATTTGGTATATACACCGACCAAATCGAATAAACCGATTAATTAAAATATAGTCTAATTATATGTAAATTATATAATATACATATAATTGTTATATGATATGATTTTCATTCTTCAAATATTGATCTTAGTAAATTAATATTTTGTTTAAGTTGACAGTTATTTTTTCATTTTTATCAAATTAAACAAAACATAATTTTTTCTTTTTTGGTTAATAAATATTGATGTCAATATTTAGTTATTTAATATTACTGTATTACTAATTCTTATTTTCTTTATTTTTATTTTACGAAATTATTATTATTAACTTAATATGTTTACTAATTATTTAAGTAGTAAAATAAAAATAGTCTATTTAAAAACATAAATACTTTTATGCTTTATTAAAGTCAATATCTAATCATATAGAGTAATATCTTTTGCTATAAAACTAAATAAACCAAAATTCGAAGGTATATACAATTGAACCAAACCAAAATAGATTGGTTCTAATATGATACCTATTTTTTATTTTTTGGTCAAAGATACCAATTTTTTATAAACCAAAAAAATTGAAAATTCTTATTCCTAGGGAATAAAACAAAACATATCATATAGTTGAGTGCGTAACTTATTTTTGGGCGGCAAATGTGACTCTTTCCCGCTCATCTCCGACCGTTTAAGCTGTTCTAAACCTTACAGCGTTAGTCTGAAGCAACACAAAATTTCCCTCTCTCAGACACACACACCTCTTCTTCAAAGTTTCAATGGCGACGGAGTACGAGCGCAGAAGACTAGAGAATATTAGACGAAACGACGAGATGATGGCTTCTCTCAACGTCCATGCCAAAGCTTCCCTTCTCTCCGCCTCAACCAAACGATCCCGAGACCCCTCTAAGAAGAACAAGAAGACAGAATCAGAAACTCCCATCGTTAAACTATTAAGATTCGAAATCAGCTTGAGAATGAAGAATCGAAGCTCAACAATGGAGAGAAAAGGGAAAGATTCAAGATGGAGAAGATGAATTGAAAAAGTTTGTTATTCAGCTTCACCGCCTAACTGTACAAACGGTTCTTTATATACAACATTGGTTTAGGCAAAAGGAAACCATAACCAAAAATAAATCAATAACCGGAACTAACTAAACCAGCTATTTAACCATCCTAATATACCCCCCTCAAGTCTTTAGCTTCACAACGGGAAGAAAAAGACTTGACAAAGAGAGCCTCTGCAGCATAGACAAGAAAGGTCCAGGATGTAACGGTTTAGTCAAGATGTCAGCTAGTTGGTTACCCGACGAAACATGAAGAGTAATAAGTCGTCCTGCCTTGATCTGATCTCGAACGGTATGACAATCAATCTCAATGTGCTTCGTACGCTCATGAAAAACCGGATTCATGGCAAGATGAAGCGCTGATTTGTTGTCACAGAACAGCTTTGGAGGCGAGGACATGGTGACATGAAGATCCTTCAGAAGCTGTTGTAACCAGATCAACTCACAAGTCACAAGTGCCAAACTCCTATACTCTGCTTCAGTACTGCTTCTACTAACAACAGCTTGCTTCTTTGACTTCCATGAGATCAGAGAAGAACCAAGATAAACACAAAACCCTGTAACAGACCGACGAGTATCTTTGCAAGTAGCCCAGTCAGCATCAGCAAAAGCATTGAGGCAAATATCATTATCAGTAGAATACATCAAGCCTTGTCCCGGATTATTCTTCAGATACCGGAGAATCTTGAGTGCTGCTTGATAATGAATGTCTGTAGGAGCAGATAAGAACTGGCTCAGTTGATGTACTGCAAATGTGATGTCAGGTCTGGTAATACACAGGTATAGAAGTCGACCAATAAGCTCTCTATACTGTGTAGGAGTAGGTAGCAGCTTTCCCATATCCTTGGTAAGATGAAGACTCGGATCCATAGGAATCGAACTAGGTTTACAACCAAGTAATCCATAATCTTCAAGCAAATTCAACGCATACTTACGTTGACAGACAGAGATACCAGAAGAGGAACGAGCTATCTCCAAGCCAAGAAAGAACCTCGCTGGACCAAGATCTTTGATCTTGAACTCTGAACGTAGCAAATCTTTAAGTTGCAGAGTAGCATCATCATCATTACTTGCTATCATTATGTCATCCACATAGACTAATGCTGCAACAAAAGAACTGCCAGAGATCTTCACAAACAAAGTATTGTCAGCCGGTGACTGAACAAACTTGGCCCCCAATAAAACTGAAGACAATCTCTTATACCACTGTCTACTCGCCTGTTTAAGACCATATAGAGATTTACGAAGTCTACACACAGGATTAGGTGGTAAGACAATACCAGGAGCAGGAGTGTATCCTTGAGGCAAGCTCATATATATCTCTTCATCTAACTCACCATGCAAGAAAGCATTAGATACATCCATTTGAGTAAGCTTCCAACCTCGAACAGACGCAAGGCTAAGCAATAACTTCACACTGGTAAGTTTAGCAACAGGTGAGAAAGTCTCCAAGTAATCAACACCTTCTTGTTGAGTGTACCCCTGTGCTACCAAGCGTGATTTGTACCTCTCTATAGTCCCATCTGCATTGTACTTTATGGTAAAGATCCAACGACATCCAACCACATTTTTACCTAAAGGCAAAGTCACAACATCCCAAGTTCTGTTTTGCTCAAGAGCATCCAATTCCACATTCGTTGATTCCTTCCAAACATCAGACTGCATGGCTTGTTTAAAGGTTTTAGGTTCTCTTTCAAGAGTATAAGCAAGGGTAACAGTTTGAAAAGAAGGCGAGAAATTGTCATAAGAAAGGACAGATGATATGAGATATGGAGTGTGAAAAAGAGAATCAGAAATAGGAGAGACAGTTGAACAAGATGTAGAGGAAGAAGTAAAAGGCATAAGAGCACAATGATACTCAGACAGATAGTTAGGAGCTCTAGTATGTCGTTTTGGTCTAGTTACAGGTTCTAGATTAACAGTAGTATCCTGTGTCTCAGTACTAGCAGTTGTAGAACTAGACAAATCAATTGAATTATTATGCAAAGAACAATCAGAATGCAAAGGAGGTAAAGGCATGGATTCCACAAAATGTAAAGGTGTTGGTAAAGGTAGAATAGAATTTGGAAACATGTCTACAATATCTTTCAAAGAATCTGTTGTTTTAAACGGAAAATCTGTTTCTTGAAACACTACATTTCGTGAAATGAAAACCGAATGAGACTCTAAGTCCAAAAGCTTATATCCCTTATAGCCCAAAGGATAGCCAAGAAAGACACAAGGTGTTGCACGAGGTGAAAACTTATGTCTATCTTTTAAAAGAGTAGAAGCATAGCACAAACAACCAAAAGTCTTGAATTGAGTATAAGCAGGAGATTTTCCTGTAAGACACTCATAAGGAGAAATATTCTTAAGCAAAGGAGAAGGCAACCTATTGATTAAGAATGCAGCAGTATTCACACAATCACTCCAATAAGCTAATGGGATATTAGATTGGAAAAGTAAAGCACGAGCTACATTGAGCAAATGTTGATGTTTTCGTTCAACGACAGAGTTTTGTTGGGGAGTGTATGCACATGAAAAGTAATGCATCATGCCTGTTTGTGAAATGATATCTGGAAATGCTAACTCAGGGGCATTATCAGACCTGATTGCTCTAACAGTCGTATTAAATTGAGTTGAAACAAGACGAAGAAACTCAGGAAAAATTTTGGAAACATCACTTTTATTTCTCATCATATAAACCCATGTAACTCTTGTACAATCATCAACCAAAGTAAAAAAATATTTGAAACCTTCAACAGACTCAACACTGAAAGGACCCCATACGTCTATATGAACAAGATCAAATGGTTTTAAAGACAAGTTTTGCTGTGATATAAAAGCTAAACGTTTTTGTTTCGCTAAAGGACAAATTGAACAATGAGAATCCGAAGAAGTGGTAGACTTTGAAGTTGGTAAATGCTGAAGAAGTTTCTGAAAAACAAGTGATGATGGATGTCCTAATCTTTGATGCCAAATGCGTTCATCAACCGAAACAGAACCACAGAATGAGCCATGTAAAGATGATTGAGATGCAGGTAATGCAGATGGAGATGCAGGTAATGCAGATGGAAATGCGTCAATGTCCAAGATATACAGATTGTGATGCAAGCTACCCTTCCCAATCATCAATCCCCGAGTAAGTTCCTGAATAAAACAACCATGAGGAAAGAAATGAGCTGCACACATCAAAGTTCGAACTAGACAACTCACACTAATCAAGTTAAACTTGAAATCAGGAACTAACAGAACATTGTATAAAACGAGAGACTGTGTTATATGAATTGTACCAGTATGAGTAATTGGAATCTTACTACCATTAGGCAAAGTAACTGAGACATCAGACACAGGTGTTAAGGTAGAAAACATAGCTAGAGTAGAACAAACATGACTAGAAGCTCCACTATCAATTATCCAAGCACCATGTGGAATGAAAGAAGGTAAAGTAGAAAGGCAATGATTATGAAAGAAAAAGTGGTCATTTGTATAGGTGAGATTAGTGGAAGGAAAAGGAAATGTACCAGATGTGGAAGTAGAAGCCATTATACCATGATCAGTGATTGTTGCTTTCGAAGTAGACAACGAGGAAGGAACGGAAGGCTCTTGAACTCGAACATGAGCATTGAACTGAGCAATTAAGCTTTGTATCTGTTGAGGAGTAAAGTTCTGCAACATCACATTACTACCTCCTGTGGTAAGATGAGGAACAGTAGATACAGGTGGTGGAGTGTAGTAGGAAGGCGCAACAGTAGAGTACACATTAGCAATGGCATTAGCAGGAGTAATAGCCATCTGAGTCTGTGATTGCACCGGAGAATTCTTAGATTGAGAGTGAGACTGATTCTTATTCTGCTGCGTCGAACCATGAGTTTTGTATCCTGGTGGAAAGCCATGAATCTTGAAACACTTTTGAATAGTGTGTCCGACTTTACCACAATGAGTACAAACAGGTTTCTGAGATTGGCGAGCAATATAAGCAGCCACATAAGCAGCACCATCATCCTTCTTAGGCACTGAGTCTTCTGAACTCTGAAAAGCAACATTATCAACCCGAGTCTGAGGCTTAATAGATCGTTGCCTTTCATCTTGAGTCACCATGTTAAAAGCTTCTTCAATTGTTGGAATAGGCTTTAACGTCAAGATGTGCCTCCGTGTTTGATCATATGACTCGTTAAGTCCCATAAGAAATTTGGTAACTCGACTCCTCTCTTGAAGCTTCTCCCAAAGAGCTGCTGCATCACACTCACACTTGCCACAAGTACACACAGGAAGATCAACATAATTCTTGTGTTCTTCCCACAAAGTCACAAGTTCAGTATAATAGGTTGACACATCCATAGCTCCTTGTTCTATCTTACTCAACTTCTGCTCAATATCAAATACTCTAGGAGCATCATCTTGCTTAAAACGAGCCAAAAGATTCTTCCATATACCTTCAGCCGTGTTAATGAACAATAAGCTTTGGCCAATCTTCTTGGAAACAGAGTTCATCAACCAAGTCGCTACCATGTCATTGCAACGAGACCAGGCACCATAATCTCGATCCGTCAATGCAGGCTTAGCCATCGTTCCATCAATGAACCCTAGCTTATTGCGTACATTCAATCCCATACGTATCGAACGTCTCCAAGAATGAAACTCAGACGCAGTATTCAATCGATCCGTAACAAGTACAAGTCCAGCATGATCATTATGATGCAGATAATAAGGATTATCGTACTGATCTACTGTACTATGCTCATTATCCCGATTCAAATGCGCCATAACTCCAAATCAAATCAACAAACAACTCCAACACAAATCAACAAACAACTCCAAAGCAACCTCGATGAATCAAACTCTACGACTGATAACCAAGACACAATCGAAGAAGAAGAGCATACCAGAGAGTAATCTGGAAAACGAAATCCCTAATCGCGATACGCAACAGATTCAAGAATCGCGAGAACAGAGAGATCGGAAAGCTCATGACGATGCGGAAGCAATCTTCGTGTGCTCTGATACCATATTAAGATTCGAAATCAGCTTGAGAATGAAGAATCGAAGCTCAACAATGGAGAGAAAAGGGAAAGATTCAAGATGGAGAAGATGAATTGAAAAAGTTTGTTATTCAGCTTCACCGCCTAACTGTACAAACGGTTCTTTATATACAACATTGGTTTAGGCAAAAGGAAACCATAACCAAAAATAAATCAATAACCGGAACTAACTAAACCAGCTATTTAACCATCCTAATATAAACGGCAGTCTCTACGCACAAGAGGCGTGACTCCAGACTCCGAAGGCTTACCCCACGGTGTTTCAGATTGTCCGAAAGGTCTCCCTTTTCCCCATTACGTATCTCTTCGTGTATTGGCTCCTCTGCCTCTAGATGATGGAGAAGGTTCCCATTCTCAGCTCGTTGATACTCTTTCGGGTATTGCAAGAAAACCCAATGAAGAAACTACAACTGTTAATGAGAGTGATGATGGTTTTGATCTTGAAGCCTTGTGTTTAGAACCGTGTAATGTCAAACGTGTTGTGCCTGAGAGAGTTTTGGTTGTAAAGTTCTTACCTTGCGAAGATGTTAAACTGGTTGCTGCAGGAGACAAGGATGGGAACGTTGGGTTTTGGAATTTAGATTGTGAAGAGGATAGTGTGTCTCTGTTCAAGCCTCACACTGGCTCAGTTACATCTCTTGTCTTCCAACAAAACTCTTTCTCAAAGGTTAAAGTCTTTATCTTTAAAACTTTTAGTCAGAGAAAAAGAATAAAAGTTTAAGATCTTTTTTTTTTTAATCATGTCAGGTTATTACCAGCAGCAACGATGGTTTAATCAGGTTGATGGACGTTGAAAAGATGGTTTTTGATTTGGTTTACTCGCGGGACGTGTATGAGCCTATACATTCACTCTCTCAGAGACCAAATGATGAGCAAAGCTTGTACTTTGGTGAAGGAGAAGGGATGATTAATGTATGGGATCTCCGAGCAGGGAAGTCAGTTTTCAGCTGGGAGTTGCATAAATACAGGATCCATACTATTGACTTCAACACGCAGAACACGCATCTCATGGCTACAAGTTCTCAAGATCGTACTGCTTGTCTTTGGGACTTGAGAACCATGGGGGCTAAGAAACCAAAAGTGTTGACTACTGTAGATCATGCCAAGGCTGTGTACTCTGCTTACTTCTCACCTTCTGGTCTCTCACTTGCAACTACAAGGTATATCTTGTTTTTGTTTCTCTCCTCGTTGTGTTCAGTACTAGTGACTGTTTTGTTTTCCTTGTAGTCGTGACAACTATGTTGGTGTTATAAGTGGCGCTAACTTTGAGGATACTTCCATGATATATCACTGCAATAACACTGGTCGTAATATCTCCAGTTTCAGGTATGCTCCAGCATCATCATTTAGTACTGATAATAGGTTTTTTTTTATTTTTTATTTGAAAAGTAGAATGATTGATGATTACCTTTAATTTGTGTTTGTTTGTAGGGGAGTATGGGGGTGGGATGATTCACATATCTTTGTGGGCAATGTGGGGAAAGGAATTGGTGGCAATCAGACGAAAGGAATTGATGTGATTTCTACTAAACTAAAGCGAACAGTGAAGAAGCTGAAGAGCCCTCTTGTGAAAGATGCTATAAGCAGACTCCATTGCCATCCTCTTAATGTTGGGATGCTTGCAGGATCCACAGCTGGAGGACATGTCTATGTTTGGACCACCAAGTAGCATATACTAAAACCATTCTCAACTCACATTTTGTTTAGTCAAAGCATGAGGGGGGCTGTCTTGTTTTGGTTTGGAGTATTCCTTGAAGGTTTCTTTGTGTTGTCTCTTGGAAAAAAAATGTTTTATTTTGAAACCATTCCTTGAGGCAACTGAACTGGCGTTTAAAAAAATGTTTGAGATAAGTTTCCAGCTACAATCTGTAAAACAGAGAAGCAAATTGGAACAACAAAAAAATTAAAGAGAGAATTGAGTAAACAAACATTATTACTTTTATTCTACAAATGGCGTCAAATCAGAATTTCCATTACGACCAAGTCCTGATAATGGCATGAAGCAAAATTTGAAACAAAAGAAAAGAGTATTATTTCTCTTGACCAAGGATGAGCGCAGTTTCATGAAACCAACTTCAGCAAGCATCTCTTGACTTGACCTGTAGAACATGACAGAACATCAATTTGAAACAAAAGAGAAAGATGAAAACTAAACAACCAAATATAAGGTACAAGACCCGGCTAAAATAGAGTGAAGAGAGACGATCTAAGTTTTCCATTGTTGCAACAAGTACATGTATTGATCAAAATAAATAAATTAGTAAAATTCATTTCGTTGAACAATCATACGGACATGTCGTAAAGTTACTCTGAATTACACCTCGTAGTTATGAATTATAAATTAGTGATGGAAATAAAAATATATTTGAGTAATAACCCTCTATTTTAAAAGACATTTTAAGAAATTTTTAAACTTTTAGGTCACTTTGTAAGGAAACCCAAAAAGATCTCCCTACTATGAATGAAAACAAAGAAAGAAGAAGAAAAAGAACATAGATAGTGTTGAAGAGCATAAGAAGCAGAGCTTGTTGATGAGAAGATGGATGTGTTTAACATTTGTTTTAATGCGAGTTTCTTTTTCTGCTGGGCTTTTAACGCTTCGTTTAAAACTATAATGGACTTTGTAAGAGATTGACAACTTCTTCGGAGATACATTAACGCAGTTCAGTAGAACAACATAGAGATACATGTTGGTGATATTCACCGTTTGTTTGAGGAAATATAAGAAGCAACCAGTGCAGAATAATAATAAGCAAAACTCAGTCAAGGAGCAACGAAATGTGGCATAAACACATTCGTTATCAGACATTAAATTTTATTTGATTGTCGTTCAAAAAACCTTATTTTCACGGATAAGTGGTTCCTAGAAGTGCAGAAGATTTATTTTTTTTGAATCTCGTAGATGGAACAGAGGCTATTACAAGCAGAGAAACACATTCACGAGGTTATTACAAACTGTTACATAGAACCATAAGCAGAACCAAACATGAGACACAAAAAAAAAACAGAAAACCAAACGCAACACGCAGAAATGGAACAGTCATAATCTCAACCTACTCTGTAATCAGCTCCATCAACCCAGGATCCACGGCCCTTGCGTCTTGAACCGTCAACAGCGATGTAGTAGCTACCCTCGTCATCATCACCCCCAGCATCCTTCACGGTGATGGTGTAATCATCGAGCTGCTGTCCGCTCATCCCTTCGATGGCATCCTTCATGGATTTCTCATCCTTGAAAGTGACGATCCCCTTTGGAAATCCATTATCACTATCGCTAGTGATCTGTTGACATAAAATAAGCAAAAACAATTCAACGCAAGATGAACAAAAGCATGAAGATAAACAAGTAACAGAGAGAACATGTAACATAGATACAGTAATTCGACCTTGGCATCAATAACTTCTCCGTACTTAGAGAAGGCGGTCTTAAGAGAGCTCTCATCAGTTTCTGGACCTAGACCTGTAACAACGCAACAGTTTTCAACATCAGCTGACGCCATTATAGAAATGAAGAACCAAGTTTACAGTGAAGAGAAAGTATGATGATCAAATGAAGGTGACAAATAATTATATTTATAATGGGGGTGAGGTAGTAACCATGGTTAAGATATTTTCTACGGTTAGGTTAGGTTCGGTTGGAGTGAAACATGGTCTAACCCTGGTTAAGGAGTGTGATTTAAAAAATAGGATTGGTTGCGCAAATGGAAATATAATTTTAATTCAGACCATAATCAAATTTACATTTGCATGTCTTACTGTGTTTTAATATTCCCCTCGTTTGTAATATTCTAATATTTTATATAGCTGGAATTTTTTGATCCGATCACAGTCAACTCTTTATTATATGTTTTTAGTTTTTCTTATTAAACACGCCGATTTACGCGTGTATACGATATGATAATATGAAGGTTCGCAATGATTTACGTTTAGCTTACCTTTTTTTTTTTTTTTTTGGAAAATGTTCCTTATTCATTTATTCTACGTTTAGCTTACCTTATAATTTCAAAAACAAAGATGATAACCTGTGCAATGTGCAGAATAAACTTTTTAAAAATATATTGTATTTAAATACATATTTTGCTATCAATAACTTTTTTTTTATCTTTGATTAGGGATGACATTTGAGTACCATTTGGTTCGGTTAAATGTTTGGTTTAAATTTTGTGGTTGGTTTGAATCTTTGCAGGTTCGGATAACCCATTATATTTTTTCTAAAAGATTAAAATTCATATATACATTAAATTTTTCAAAATCTAAAAGTAAAAATAATATATAACATACAAATTTGAAAAATGAATGCCAAAATACTTAAACTTAACATAAAATTGGTTTATCTTAAATATTTGGAACAATAAATAATTCAAATATTTAGATTTTTGGTATTTGGAGTATCGTTAGCTATTTTAAAAATGTATGTTTAACTATTTTATATATTTCTAAGTATTTTAGAAATTTTTTTAAAAATCTCATGTATTTTGTGTATTCTTAGATGTTAAATTTAAAAATAATTAGTATATTTAAGTATATAAATATGGTTCGAGTACACTTGGATACCCGAAATATTTCGATTCAGTTTTGGTTCTCTAGATACCAAAATTTCGAATCCGTTTGGATATCTAACAAATTTTGGTTAAAATTTTTTAATACCGTTTGGATAAGATTTGGTTCGGTTATCTGGATTCATTTTTTTTTCCCAACCATATATTTTTTCTTGTAATAAAAATTTAAACGAAAGGGATGATGGTTCATATTGATTTTGGGTATGCAATAGTTTTGAACAAAACACACTCTATTATGCGCGATCTATTTAGTTAATCATTATGAACTGTTTAAGACCCATTAGAAAAACGATTGGCTGAACTAAAAAACATTATCATTGATCACAAAATTTCCAATGTGAGATTTTTACCATTTTTAGTAATTTATGCCCGTTATAAAAAGTTTAAAATATAACATATAAGAAAAAATTTACTTTTTCATTATATGATTAATGTGATTGTTTAATTTCTTTTAATAATATAAAATTGAATAAAAAGTAAAGACGATAAAAAAATGTTATCAAATCTTTATTATTCATAAACATTAATTGTGATATATATGTTAATCATATTAGGTAATTCCATAGCTTTTATCTAATGAAGAAATATTAAATATTCTTTTGTATAATACTAATTAAATATGATACTTAGTATAATAAAAATATAACATATGTTTAAACTACTATTTCTCTAAGAGTTATGAAAATCATTCTTACTGTGACACGTGGCTACAAAAAATATTATAATGATCTAGGATTAATATATAGGAGATTTAAACTACTAATCAAAAATATTATATGTGAAATTTTAAATGTTTTATTAATTTTTAGTCGTTTTTAAAAATTCAAAATATAACATATATCAAAAAATCTAATTTTTGTTATATATTTAATGTTATTGTTTAATTTATTTTCATAATATAAGTTTAACAAAAATAGTATATGATATATTTTTTTTTATCAAATCTTCATATTCGAATCCTTAATTGTCATATATATATTATAACCATATTAGGTAATTCCGTAAATTTTATTTAAAAAAATAATGAATAATATTAATAATAGTTTTATGTTTAGTTTAATAAAAAATATATTATATAGTACGTTTATATAGACCAACATTTTTCTCTAGTAAATTTGAGAAGCATTCTCATGATAACACGTGGTTACCAAAATATGTTGTAATGCTTCTCAGTTAAGATATATAGGAAATTATAAGTCATTTTAGAACAGAGCAAAACGAAAACCGACGTAGCCATAATCCGAGTCTGAGAAATGATAAATGCACTATTTTCATTCATCAATATCAGATAAATTTAGTTCTCTTGATGTTTAGAGTTAACTAAATTTCTAGTCTGCACGGCTTGTGCATTAGTTTTACATAATTTAAGACCTGTAAACTGAAAATCTCTGAGGTTTTGGTTTTCCTTGCAGCCGTGACAACTATGTTGGTGCTCTGCTAACTTTAAGGATACTTTCATGATATCTCACTTTAATAACACTGCTCGTAATATCTCCAGTTTCAGGTATACTTCAGGCTTTAGTATCTTGTAGTACCAATAATAAGTTCTCTTTTTGCATTTCTTTTATCTGAAAAGTAGGATGATTATTACCTTTAATCTGTCTTTGGTCGCAGGGGAGTATGGGGGTGGGATGATTCAAATATCTTTGTCGACAATGTGGCAAAAGGAATTGGTGGCAATCAGACAAAAGGAATTGATGTGATCTCTACGAAACTAAAGCGAACAGTGAAGAAGCTGAAGAGCACTCTTGTGAAAGATGTTATAAGCAGACTCAATTGCCATCCTCTTAATGTTGGGATGCTTGCAGGATCCACAGCTGGAGGACATGTTTATGTTTGGACCACAAAGTAGCATAATGAAACCATTTTTCAAATCACATTTTCTTAATCAGCATGTGAGGTCTTGTTTTGTTTTGGAGCATGTCTTGAAGGTTTCTTTGTGTTCCACAACAGTCTTTTATTGTCTCTTGAAAAATCGGAAGTGTCTCTTTCATCTCCAATTCTCCACTAGCTCTTCATGAGACTTGTCTACTATTTATCCAATCAATACATTATCTTTTTCACTCTTATTTCAGTTTAAAACTTTAAATACGCCTAATTTTAGTTATTTTTGAACAAATAACCGGATAGATAAAGTACATTTTGGTAATATAAATAGTTAAATCATTTATTGTCTACCATCATGTTATAGAAATCGAAGACCTAGCGCTGAGACCTTTCTAAAAATGGAAATGTGTAGTAGACAGATAAGAGGATCTGTATTTTTTAAAGGGAAAATTCCATATAAATACCCCAACTAAATTTTATTAAGCTTTTTAATACCCAAACTTTCTCACTGCCCAATTTAATTCCTCAACTAATAATTTTTCCCACTTTAATATACAAACCTTTATAATTGTGCCCATTTTAATACCCAAACTTTGTTTATTTTAATTAACAATACTAATAAGTTTCAAACAAAATTTTTAAAAATCTCCAAAATCTAAGAAAAAATATTTAAAATTTCTAAGTTTACTCTAAGATTTAAGAAATAAGGTAAATAAACTCTGGAGAAAATTTAAATGTTTTAAAAAAATAATTTTGAAGGAAAAAAATAATTTACTTTTTTATTTCAGAAAACAAACTAAATTCAATATATAAAACTTAAAAAACTTATTACAAAACTTAAGATTATCAAAAATTTATTTAATTTCATTTCCATAACATATAATAAAATCAATTTTTTTTGTAAAGTTTACAAATTTTAAAAAAAAATTTGAAAATTTATTCGTATTGTTAATTAAAATAAACAAAATTTGGGTATTAAAATGGGCACATTTATAAAAGTTTGTGCATTAAAATGGATAAAATAATTAGTTGGGGTATTAAACTGGGTAGCGAAAAAGTTTGAGTATTAAAAAACTTAATAAAATTTAGTTGGGGTATTTATATGGAATTTTCCCTTTTTGAAAACACCTACTTTGTCTTGTAATTTCTCTTTCCTAGTACCCAATTGTAAATAGTATCCAATTTCATTCATAAGTTCCCACTTTTATGTTCATTCATAATGACGCAAAACCAATCAAGAAAACCATTTGCAAAACAGAGTTTCTCTTTACCAAATATATAAGAACCTTTCACACGTCACTGAATTAGAAAATTTTGTAGGAGAGCATCATCAATGGGGGTGCTTAAGGGAGTGCTTAGTGCTTTTTGGCAGTAGGTCCCGCAAGCACCCTTTCCAAAAGTGCTTAATCAAGCATTCCAAATAGTGAGTTGCTTGTACTGTTTGCTGGTCTTACTGACACGTGGCGATCCATGATTGATTCGGTTTTTTTTTTCAAAAATACAAAAAAGAAAAAAATAGAAAAAATAAGCACCTCATATGATGTGCTAGGGTTGAGGATGCTTTTAATGAGGGCTTATTTTCTGCTTCTTGTTCATCTCATTTACCGTCTTCTCTAACAATAAAACTTTCGCAGCAGAAGCAGCAGATTTTACCATCTCCATGTTCAGTTTTTCTCCGAGTTTCAACACTCCCTGCTCCAACGACAAAAACTTAGCAGCAGATTTGTCCTTCTCCTTGTTCTTCTAACCAATCTTGCTTGAAGCCCGCTTTTGTTAGGTCTAACAACTCGTTGTTAGCGTTGCCTAACTCTATCTTAGTGAAGCTAAGTAGAGGCTTGTTCAGTTTCTCGATCAGATCCAAGAGTAGATCCATGTATGTTGTCTTCACTAATTGGCTTTGTGGTATGACATATTTAAAGCCATGTCCGGGTGTTCCATGAAAATTCCAACTCACTTTTCTAACCTGCCACCATGTAATTAGGTTAACAAGAAAAAGTGAAGAAAGAAGACAAGAAGAAGCGTTCTTGCAACTGCAATCATTTCATACCTTAGAATAAAGAACTTGGAAACCACCGATATCTACAGTCTCATTTCCCAGTTACTTCTCCTTCATCAACTACTTTTACATGGACTTTAACTATGAGTATGTTCTTCTCCA